CTTAATGATGTTCAACGTATAGTGATGTTAGAATCAGCTTGTTCCCCTGAATTCATTCTTACAGTGTCAGGCAGAAAACTGCCCATTTTAATTTTTAGTTTAATCTTGGTTTTGAATGTCAGTTTTATTTTAAAGGGATTTAAAAAGAGATGTGAGTGAAATAGCTCATCTAATGCATAAGTATATTAGCATAGAAAATTTAGAATTAAACTTACTAACATTAACTGTAGTACCACTTTTAAGTTGCATACAGTATTTAGAAATATTGATACATTTAATTGCAAATATAGTAATAGTCATCTTAGCAAAGATGTACATCTTTGCAAAGATGTACACAGGAAAGCCTGTGAGACATTTGTGTATGTTGTGATATGAACAGGGAAAGGATTGGGAAGCTGTTCACAAGGTTTGAGTAAGAAAGAAAGGAAGAAGGTGAGGGAAGATTTTGAACTGGGCCCATACTTACTCAAGCATGGATTCTTCCGGGGTCGACAATAACCCAACGGGAAGAGGAGGAGGAGGTGGCCTCTGTGTGTGTCTTTGTTTATTCCTTCTCACTGGCTAATGGAATGGAAATGAATTGTCTAGATCTGTAAGACGATAGAAGGAAACCCTACGGGGCTTTGTGTTTGATGCCTTCTGTTGGTCTACCATGAAAGAAGAGCTACAAGAATATTTTACAAGCGAAGTCCTCCAATCCCCTTCCTTCTTTCAACCAGTTTTGTCCGAATCATAACACAAATTATTCAGTTTTAAAAAGCAAAGCTGTTCAAGAATACGACTGCTAATGGAGCACTTGAAAGCCTTCCATGTTTTGACAAGCCTGGTTCAAATAGTATTTGTGGGCACAAGAGCACGGTTTGTTTTTATCTGCATCCAGACAACTTATCCCAGGAAAAGTTTTGTGCATGATTTTTTAAAAGAAATACTGTCTAGAGTTTTGACAGTGTTCTCGGCTGATAATCCTTAACCAATTAAAGAGGACCCACTGGAGACCTTGTTCATAAAAGATTTACCAAAAAGTCACAGTGTAGTTGAATTCAAAATGAGGAGTGTAAAGATAAGTGAGCATTTCTGAATAATAGCCTATTCAGTAAAAGACAAAACATATCACTTCAAAATACAATGGAACAGCATTTAAAAAGATATCTTGGGAGACATTTCTCTCCCCTAATAACTCTTTAGAATAAACAGATTTCTTCAGGGTTACTTTGAAAGACGGAAAGCACTTAATAGGTAATTGGGTCGACAATCACCCTGTTTTGAGACAACACTCCAAGGATCTTCATGTCTTGCCCCCAAGCAACAGCAACATTTTGATAATTTGAAAAACAGAAACGTTAGCTTGATTGTTTCTAGTCTAACTGACTCTAGTAGAGGAGGACTCCAGTTTATTTATGAGGGATATTGCATATCAAAGCTTGGAGTAACTCCATTTGCTGCCACTGATAATTATTTAGTTCTTAGTATATGATGTTACTTTTGCAGGATTTGATCATTTATGTTTATTTTCTTTATTTGGGGGCAGTGGCAGCAGGAAATGAGGTCTGTGACAGGAACTGAGATCCATAGAATCACAGGATATTGGTGCTGCTGGAGAGAGTGGGCAAGGGCCAGGAATGAGAAGATGTTCCAATTCTGTTGTATGCCAAACACTGTGGTAGGTGCGTCATAATTTATGAACAGCACATGTACTGATAGACGTAATTTGACAGATGTGGAAAAAGACTCATCAAGGAATTTCTCCAATAGATAATGTGGCGGCAGAAAAAAAATCCGTTATGTTGTTGTTGTTTTCCCGTTTAGGGCTATCAAACCCGTGTCGTGGTCTTTCTGATTCATGAGGCTAACTCCTCCGGGAGGAAACTTGGCATCCTCTGGCTCAGCGCTGCTAAATTCTAAATTGATATGAGTCAGTAAAGGCCTTGAGAGAATGTGGATTCTGAATCAGTAGGCCTGGGGTGGGGTCTGAGAACCTGCATTTTTAATTAGCTCCCAGATACTGCTGATGGTGTTGGTTTGGCTTCCTGGTAAAAGGGTCTCCAATACAACACTGCTTTAGCATCATTAGAATCATTGTCTGACATTTCTTTTATTCTGAACTCTGGTTTAATTCTTAATCAGCCTTAATTACAGTAAATGGAACAAGAGAGCAAGACAAGTGACACTGGTTTTATTTAGGAATGGAAAGAAGTCTTTTGACATTTATGGTGTTTAAGGATTTTGCACAAGTTAGAGAGAAATGGAGACAGATTGCTAGCAATTGAAAGGAACTTTGTTTTTCCACATCTACTATAATGTCTAATTTTCTCATATGTTGCCATCCACATTCTAGAAACCAAATTTTAATTAAAGAGAATACATGAACAACTACATCTAATGCACAGCATAGAAAGATCACAAGTTTGAATCAGCTGACCAATGCTTTAGTGTACTGCTCAGGCATTAGAACTGGATGACTTCCTGTCCCTTTAACTCGGATGCAAATAGGTTGATAATGGCAGCTTTAACTTTCCCCATTATATCCAAGTTGAATGTGGCAGTGATTTTATCCTTCAAGTGGCTATGCTTTTTCAAATACTGAAATAACGGCACTTCTTTACTGGCTGACCCTGGATTGTGTAAGAAAAGATTTATCTTATAGCACCTATGGGGCACAGGCAATTCGTAGACATGCAATTTTCATGGGCCTTGTCATCTTTTTAACTTCCTAAGGGTCAAATATATACACATAAATAGCATAATACTCAAGAAAACAAGCAAAAATTTTAAGTGTCTTTTTAGAAGCACTTTTAAAGGTCTAGTGACATAAATAGGTCTTAATCTGTTTTCATAATTAGCATCCGATTAAGATATGTCATCAGTTTTTATTCAAATGAAGATAATTAAACTATTAAGATACTGAGTTCAATTATGTCCTCAGCTCCAAATTCAGTCACCAAGTATCAGATGTAATGACACTTTAATAAAAAGAATTTCTGCTTTTGAACTGTGGTGTTGGAGAGGACTCTTGAGAGTCCCTTGGACGGCAAGGAGATCCAACCAGTCCATCCTAAAGATCAGTCCCAGGTGTTCATTGGAAGGACTGATGCTGAAGCTGAAACTTCAATACTTTGGGCACCTACTGTGAAGAGCTGACTCATTTGAAAAGACCCTGATGCTGGGAAAGATTGAGGGCAGGAGGAGAAGGGGACGACAGAGGATGAGATGGTTGGATGGCATCACTGACTCGATGGACATGGGTTTGGGGGAACTCTGGGAGTTGGTGATGGACAGGGAGGCCTGGCATGCTGCAGTTCATGGGGTCACAAAGAGTTGGACACGACTGAGTGACTGAACTGAAAAAGAACTTCCAACTATTAAAAATTATGAGCTTTAAAAGTATGTTACAGTCTATGTATGCTATCTCAATTAAAAATGTCTTATGCTTATTATTTGCCTTTTGAAACCAAAAGGAATCATTTGAATGCTGGTATTAGAAATAGACCCCTTTTTATGTGCATATAGTGTACATGTACATGTCTAACAACTTCAGGTCAGAGTTCTACAAGAGTAAATCAGGATCAACTAATTTGCTAGGGAGTGACAGGCTGTGAAGATTTTCAAATTTATTTTTCTGGTGGTACATGGTTGCCTAACATATTAACAGACGGCAAACAAGAAACACAGGCATTTCACCTTGATATAAATAAATATACTCTGAGTTTCAATCTGGCTTCTTTCTCCCTGTTCCAAGGCCCAGTATGAGATTTCAGCAAGTCATCACACCTCATGGGAACCCACAAAAGTAAGATTTTCCCTGCTTCTCTGGGTGTGAGGCTGCAGGATTATTTCCTTACTGGTTTTCAGGCCTCCATCAGCAGCTGGTGAGCCAGCTTTCACATACCTCTTTGTGAAGACCAACTAGATGGGCCAGAGAGGAGGGTGTCTGTGAGGAGGCACCCCAGTCATGATACGTGGTGAGGTCTGAGCACAGGTGACCTGAGAGCATTCTCAAAACTATAGCTTTCCAGCCCTAACTTACAAAGACCATGAAATATTAAGATGAGTGTAGGAAAAAGAGCAGATACACTGAAGGTGGGGACAATATTGTACATACAGCTTTATTAATGACTCCTGATGTACAAGGTCATGATGGCAGAAATGATAACGAGCACACACATGCATAGTTCAGAAGGGCTGTCTAGACTGCTGACTGAGCGCTCAGGAAACAGGGTGGACAAGAGCCACTGACTCATTGCTAGCCTCGGCACAGGACAGTCACATAACCACAGTACAGATCAAGTTCCCTAAATCAACTTGCAGATGAAATTATCAGTAGTAAATACTTGTAGCTAAAAGTTTAGAGATTTTTGTGGCTAACAAACCTTCACAGGTTGAGAGCTCCATTAGAGGAAAAAGTACAAGAGAACCAACAGAGCTGCTCCCCAGAAGATGCCCACGTTTTCTAATATGTGCAAAACACAACGCACCTTTAATATTAACAGCATTCTTTCCTCTTCAGGCTAGGAGGCCATATTATGTACAACTGATATTAAGTCATTAAGAGACATACTACTGGAAAGGTACTGAAATTCAATTAGAGCATATCATGGTGGGACTCATCATTATTTTTCCTTTGGGTCTAAATATCTTGGCTGCTCTCCCTATTTAAGTATCCAAATGCAGATTACGTTTTGTGCCTTTACTATATCACTATGGAAATAAATCCCCAAAGTAGAGATTTCTTGAAACACTGAGCAGAAATCCAGAGATCACTTAAAATTAAACATATACAAAATACACACATATATATTCATTTTCAGGGGTATATAAAGCTTAAGTAAAAACAAAAAATTTTTTTCACATATAGAAAGTGAAAATGCTGTTTCAGCATAAACTTTATTTTTGTGCTTATTTTACAGAGTTTAGAATACACGAGGCACATTATTCGATGACAGTGAGTAGCCTTTTCAGCTTCTGTTTCTTCTTTAAGTATAGATGCTGACAGAAAAGATGGATTAGATGCAGTCTACTTTTTCCTCAGTTGGCTCACTTTTCAGAGGATTATAAACCATGAAATGAAACTGAGTAAATGTTGAAAGTTTATTGCAAGCAGCACCTGGGGCCAAGAAGAGAGAAAGTCGTTTGGTTAAATGTAGAATGCACGTATTTACAACCAGTAGACACCGCTCCGGACACTGGCCACGGTGGACCTGCCGTCCAGGCAGGCCATAGCAGTGTGCGTGTCCACCCTAGTGCCCATCTGCTGACCGCCCACGAGACCTCACAATGCAGGCTGAGGTTTTGCTCCTATACACATGCGGTCATTGCTCCCATTATTTTAGTTTTCATACCCTTTTTTAGCAGAAGAAAATTTTCAGGTACATTTCCTAGTCACTGGGCCATTCCCTGTATCCATCCATAAGCCTCCCCTCCCCAGGCTCCCTGTTCGTTTCTACTCTTCTATGCCTGTGGGTGGGGAGGCTAGTTGGTCAAGATGGTCTCTGTCAGACAACAGTGACTTCTTCCCCGGCTCAGACACCTGGAGGGCATCCTTTTAATGCCACTACTTTCAGCATAAGAAGCTGGTCAATTTTAAATTCATCTACAATTATATAATTATCATTTTTACATCCTGTTAAATGCAACTTTGAGCTTTCTAAGGTTTATTTCCTAAGAGGGAATCGATGAAATGGACTTATTTTAGACATAAAGACTTTCCCCCCATAACTTATATTGACTTTTGCATTTTAGTACTTAAAAAAGCATAAGGAATTCCTCCACCAAGTTTTCAAATACTGAACTGTGGGAAGTAAGAGATCAAAGCACAATAATAAGCAGTCTAACCTAATAAGTTGTATTGATCAGTAGGCCGTGTATCTTCCCCATCTGAAATCTCGCTAATGAGGAGCGGCCGTGGTTGATCTTGAAGTGCTTTGAAACTGATAGGTTCACATGGAAAGTAAATGAAGCAAACGATATGCCTCAAATACAGTGCAAAAATAATTCTGCTAATGCCTTTAGTTTACTAATTGGTAATACATTTTGTACCTCGGAACCCTGAGATCTAAATGACTGAGGCCTTTAAATAATGAATGGAAAAGAAGCGGGGAAGATCATTTATCCCTACCTACTTCTAACAAATAAAGGCATTTGACTAGATTAGCCCATCTCAACATGCACTTGAGCTGAAGCTAAACTTTCCTTTGGACAGATGTCAAGGCTAAGAGCTAAAAGCCAAAGACTGGATCCTAACCACTGCCAGTCAACAGGTGCATTTTTAACCCTTTGGGGGTCGTGACTCATCAGCAGTGAACATCTACTCAGCACGGCCCGGCTTCTGCTGCAGACGACTAAACTTCCTCACAGCATCTAAAAGTCTCTGTCGTCATCAACATTTGCAGGCCCACACAAATATGAATTTCAGATCAAACCCACCATAACTTCCGGTCACGTTGGCACATATCACAGCCCCAAAGAAGTTGGGAAAATACTTCTGGATTCTTGAGATCACTTTTTCACATGCTGTGGTTGGATTTTCTCCTCTTCTCATATATTCTACAGCTTGATAGCTGATTTAAACAGAGGCAAAACTTTAGTATCACAGACAAAGCAAACTCCACAGTTTGATTACTTGAGTTTCCATGTGTAAAACCAACAGAACTGTCACATTTGATATAATACAGTGCAGACAGGTGAACAGAGGCCCCTAACTTCTGTGGCAATATCAACAGAAAAAGAAGTAATCTTGATACCATTTCTGTCTTTTCAGCTCACCCACCCACTCATTTCAGATAAGAAGTGATGTATTTGGCTTTGGCTGAATAACTGTTATTTAGTAATAACAGCCTAAAGTCAGAAAGTATAGAGTATAGTTTCTTTAAATAAGAAACAAGGCTACTGTCAATGGGGAGGAATACTAGGCATGAACAAAACACCTCAGTGTGAGGGTTATCTTTCCATCAATAATGGTATGTAGTGACTCCATTTTCTACTTTTGTTGTCAGTTTTCACGTTTTTCTCAGTGGCCTTACACTTTATTTAAATAGATCCTAAGTATTCTCAACTGTGCAGCGCAGTGAGAGGTACTATTCCATTTCAGAGGACTATGATTGCTTCATTTGAATGATTACGCTTCATCTGAATGATTATGACTGTAAGTGATAGAGTGAAGAGTTGGTAAGCAGGGTTTCTAAAAGGTTCTGCCACACACAGGTTCGGGTCACGCGGCACAGACGATTAGGTTCTATGCTGACAGATGGCATCGCCACCCGACTCTCTGCAGTCACAGATGGAGGAGGACACACCTTGGGACGAAGCGCATCAGGATGTCTCCGTCGCCCGTGGCTGCTGCGGCCCCCACCATGTCGTCGGCGTAGGCCCCAGACCCAGGTATCGGTGAGTCTCCTATTCGGCTTTGGGAGGGCACAGCATGGTCATTCAGGGCGGGAAGGCAAGTGCAGAAAACTCTCTTAGATGTTTCTGCTTAGTCACTGACTATCACTTCAAGTAAATTCTTCATTAGAATACAGACAAGCAAGATTTTCCTTAGTTTTTCTACTGGGTTTTCACAACCCTGCACTCCTTACACAGGGATCAGACAGCAGCCCGTCACACGGAGGGGGCCCGCACAGGGTCACGGCGCCTGTCCCACCACCACCACCCTGTGTCGTCTCAACAGGTCCCAACTGCCTTTCCTCACCTACAATCTGTTCCTCACATGCCAGCATTTCAGCAAGCTCTTCCTTGCGTTAACAATAAACCTTCCATGCTTTTCTGCTACTTTCAGATAAAAGCCCAGGAATCTTTAAAGACCGCTTGAAGTCTGGCTCTGGTCTTCCTTCCCTGCACGTGACAGATGTGCAGTTTTGCTCCGGCCATCCTGAGCCCTGCACCTGGGCGTGTACTGGCTCGGGTCAGCTCGGGCCTTGGCCTGGACGTCCCCGTTCCCTGGCTCAGGCTCGGGGTCAGTGCCCGGCCTCCCTCTCTGGCCTCCCCGACTATCCCAGCCTAGTCTGATCACCCCTGAACTCTGCAGCCCTGGCTGAGACCCCTTCTCCTTTGCACTTAGCAGCCACTCATGTATCTTCTTTCACAGCAAACTCAGCTGTGAGGGCAGGGCTCTGCTCTTAACACTCTTCATCCCCCAAGGCACCTAGGACATATTGGCTGACACTCAATACATATATTCGAGATCTGTTCTTTTAAAACACTAACCCAGGTATTTTGAATTTTATACCATTTGTAGATGTACCAGCAGCAATATTTCCCATCTTATGGATGACGATCATGCCTAGAAATTTAAAAAAGAATATATCGTTGTAGGTATCACCTCTACAGTGTACCTCAAATAAAACCAAATAATTGAGCAATTGGCAATATAAACATCCTCTTCCATTAATTTCAGGTAGAAAAAAGCAGGTATGTTGGGGATTCTGAAAATTACACCAGTGGTATATAATCTATGTGTTTTAATGGCCTGGTTTCATGGCATCATTTTGTAGGCATCCCATTTCCTCACTTCAGACTGCTCACTTTTCAGTGTCTCTTCAATGGTTATGCCAAAGAGAATCACTGCTGGAGACGAATGGAAACTTCCAACATTACCGGAAATGACTGGAAAGATCATTTGAATGTGGTAAACATAAAATTATTAAAGCACTAAATATCAAACAAAGATTTAAAAATCATCAAGTAAATGATCATTAGATTTTTGTATAAAGTAACTGACCAAAATGTATACAGATGATATGAAAAGAATGTGTGTGTATGCATATGTGTATATGTATTTTTTTCCTTAATTAGAAATTAATCAAAATCACCTGGTTCATGAATAAGAATAAAGAAATTTAAAACTACAAGGAACCAATTAAAAATAACTGACTATAACCATAAAAACTGTAGCGAAGACAAATTACCAATAGTATCATGACTGTAACTGTGTGCTGTATCTTCGTAGGTGATACCATCTCGTTTTAAGATAGCAGGTGGTTTGTAGGGTCCACAGTATTTTGAAGAATCTGGTATAACATTCTGTAAATAATATTTAAGTTTTTTTTTTTTTAGAAAGGGTGATTTTAGAAATCAGCAAGTGGTTATGTACAATCACTAAAAATTATAGAAAGAAACCAAAAGGGCATCTGGTAACTGAAAGGTAAGAATTAAAAGCCAAAGGTTAGCTAAGTCTTATGTGAACAGATGGATGTTATTTTGCTAAATACCTAGTCAAATCTCCGAATCACCCAATATGGACTAGACAGCTATAATATCTGGAAAAGATCCCCATTTTTTCTCTGTGTATGCCAAAATTCCTCAGCACAATGGCAAATATAAATAAAGATTTTCTTTTTTAGATTAGACATGATTTTTAAGATTAGATTTTCTTTTTTTTTTGGATTCAAAGAAATCAGATATACAACCTGATTTTTTCAATTTTAGAATCTGTTCCCTGGCCAAAGAGGAGTTACTCTGAGATTTAAAGCAAAATCTATTTGAAAACCTTCCAATTTTCAAAGCTAGGTTCATGTGAGCATATTCTAAGTTGTACTCTCAGATTCTTTTACGAATCTTAGAGGCTCAAGAAAATAATCCAAATTCATAAATTCAGCTTGTGGACCTGGATTAATATTAAAGCAAGAAGCCTACAACTCATGTCTTATCCATTTGTGCACAGGGTGCCTCCCATGACCTGGTGTCAAGCAGTGGCCTCTTTCAAGAGACTCCCTGGTTACTCAAAGGTAATTAGGATTTGGTGAAGAAGCGGACGAGAGATCAAGGTGCTCCAGAGAAGGACTCTACTGGGAAAGAAAATCCGATTTAGGCTAACGTCCTGGTGGTTCAGATCGTAAACAGTCCACCTGCAATGCAGGAGACCCAAGTTCAATCACTAGGTTGGGAAGATGCCCTACAGAAGGGAATGGCTCCCCACTCCACCTGGAGAACCGCATGGACGAGGAGCCCGGCGGGCTACAATCCATGGGGTCACTAGGAGTCGGACACGACCGAGGATTAACACTTTGCTTTCTCACTGATTTAAAGACAAATTATCTTTCTAGTAACAGACACCTAATACTATAAATCTTCAAGGTGAATAAAGGCAAAATATAGCATATACTTCCTATAGATAAACTGTTAATAAATACCTTAGATGAATGGTTTCCAAACTTTGGGTTTTTAACACATGGAACCTTTTGCTACAAAGAAACAGAGAGTGGCTGCAGTGAGGCAGCCCCTTACCCCAGAAACCTTTTAAGTCTGAAGCCACTGCCAGGGGCCAGGAGCTCCCCAACAGGGATGTGGATTGGATGCGGCTAGGGAGCTTTCGAGACCACCTGTGCCCAGAGCTGACTCCAGTCTTTGGTTCCAATGAGCAACCAGGGGTGCTAACTCACACTGCAGGCAACAGGTGGATGACTGAGAGCGGAAGCACTGTCACTCAATATATTCAAATAACTTACTTTAAAAAATCATGCATACATACCTTCCAGTAATTTGGTTGGCAATTCCGAGCAAGCCAGTCTGAATGAAGAGCCTGAGAAACGTTGGTGGATAAATCCTCATTGATAAAGCCCATGCTTTCGGCAAACTTGGTGGCTGGAGATTGGGAACAAAATGTAAATGAGTTAAATGTCTTCTTTTAAATAAAATGTATGTACAGGAAGTGCTGTGGGTCAGCTGTCTCCCTCGTGGAGCACAACAATCCAGGGGGGAAACACAGATGGCCCAGGGAGGACTCAGACGCGAGGAGTGCTGTGGGCATCGGTTTCCAGGTCTCCACTTCCTACGTCCTTCCTGATGCTCATCTACTGACACCCTGGTGATGTGTGTGAGGACAGTTCCCCTTTCCCTCCAGATCTCTCTCCTTCTGCTTTACGAAAAGAAAGGGACACCCTGGAACAACAGTGACTCTGTGGCTCTAACTGGGGTGCAGTGCCTGGCGTGTACAGAAATGCTGAGACACCCAACAAAGGCACCACTGATTCCATGAAGGAGTAACAGTTCCTGGCTTTGTCGGGTAGCTTTCCATTCTGGATGCCAGCAAAACTGAAGGATGCCTCCTGGAGTTGTTCACATCATTAAACGATGTAGCAAATGTGATTTTTGATTATAGATCACGGCATGATTTTTAGTATATACCTAGGAAGGTGTTCAAAGAAGTACCACTGTTGGAGCAAAACTCCTGTTCCCACCTTCTGTCATCATGTCTCTCAGGTCTCATGCCCATAAAAACATACCGCAAGAAGGGAAACGATGCTGAAGCCTTGTTCCCCTCCAGTAGTTACTCATTTATTGATAATACACTGATTTCTAAAAAATAATAAAAATAAATGGAAAAAAAAGATAAAACTACCATAGTCAAAAAATAAAAAAAATAAAAAATCCTCCATTAAAGGTGAAGAAAGTACGATTTAGAAGTAACTTATCCAAAGTTAAACAGATTTTATGTAAAACAGCTGGACTTTGAACTTAGGTCTGCTTTTACGCACTGTTTTATACTGAGCCCTGCTTTCAGAGTGAAGACCAGAGCCAAGAGACAACGTAACGGAGCACAGCTGGAACATACCCGCCTCTCCTGCTAACAGCGTGTGTGTCGTGTGTTCCAGAACTTTGCGGGCCACGCCAATGGCGTTTTTAATTCGTCTGAGATCTCCCACTGCTCCCACATTCATGGTAGTGCTGCCAGAAACAAGTGTGGTAAGATTAATTCAGGTAATTTTATATGTTCACAAGTTTTTTACTTCAAAGCGTCTGCCTATAATGCGGGAGACCGGAGTTCAACCCCCGGGTCGGGAAGATCCCCTGGAGAAGGCAATGGCACCCCACTCCAGTACTCTTGCCTGGAAATCCCATGGACGGAGAAGCCTGGTAGGCTACAGTCCATGGGGTCGCAAAGAGTCGGACATGACTGAGCCCGACTTCACTTTCTTTCTTTCTTTCACTTTCATAGTGTTTTGTAGGATTAAACTCCACCGTCTTACCACAGAAGTGACAACACGTTCAAAAGTTCATACAAATTCCCACATTCCGACATTTAAGGAAAAAAACCCAGAAAATCAACTAGCCATACTCCCAAAGCACTGGCCTTCTCAGTTTTCCACCGCTCTGGCTTTTGAAAAGGCCTTTAAGTCTTCCGGTGAGGCAAACCATAGGGTTCGTGGCTGGCAGGTAAACAATGGTTTCCATGTACACGTTTTTGTATGTTAAGGTTCTCTCTGCTCTAAGGAGACCACCTACCTCCATGCGATATTTCTCTTATGATAATGATTTTTCTTTTCCAAAAATTTTTTAAATTGAGGTGTAGTTAATTTACAGCGTTGCATTAGTTTCAGGTTTACAGCAAAGTGATTTGGATTCTTTTCCATTACAGGTTGTTACAAGATACTGAGTATGGGTAACATCAAAATATATCAAAACTTATACATTGTGGGGGAGGGATAAATTGGGAGATGAGACTGACACATACATGCTACTAGATATAAAATAAACAGCAAGGGCCTCCTGTCTAGCACAGGGAACTCTACTTCTAGTCGGCAGTGGCCTAAATGGGAAAAGAATACAAAGGAACGTGTGTAACTGACTCGCTCTGCGGCACACCTGAAACTAACACTACCCTGCACATCAACGACATGCCAATAAAAAAACTAAAAAAAGAATAAACACCGTATATATTTGTGCATCTTGCTCTGGGTATAAGACTGCTGCTGCTGCTGCTGCTAAGTCGCTTCAGTCGTGTCCGACTCTCTGCGACCCCAGAGACGGTAGCCCACCCGGCTCCGCTGTCCCTGGGATTCTCCAGGCAAGAGCACTGGAGTGGGCTGTCATTTCCTTCTCCGATGCATGAAAGTGAAAAGTGAAAGTGAAGTCGCTCAGTTGTGTCCGACTCTTCGCAACCCCATGGACTGCACCCTACCAGTCTCCTCCGTCCATGGATTTTCCAGGCAAGAGCACTGGAGTGGGGTGCCACTGCCTTCTCTGGGGTAGAAGACTGACCAACTGCACATGTGACTCCGCCTGCAGCAAGGCCGCAGAGCGCACGGGGCCGTGCAGGGCGCCCCTACCCGTCCATGATCATGGCGTCCAGCGTGGTCTCCGCCGACTCGTCCGGGCTGCCCCCGAAGCCCACGCTGCCGTCGCACTGCTGCTGCTCGCAGGTCGCGCAGCCGCTCTCAACCGCGTCCAGGGCCGACCCTCCGGCCGCCAATGTCTTCCACGCTGGGGATCAAATCCCAACAGTGCTTGTGTAGATACCGATTTCCTTTTCCGTGCCAAAGGCAACAGACCAAAAATGGCACGAAAATGCCTATTTTAAAAATTGTTTGCACATTTACTCCAGTTAAGTTGAAATTTTTGTTTATCAAGTGCTACAAAGAAGTTAGAATGATATAGACAGAATTATGTAAGACAGTTCTTACCATGAAGAATCCAAAGGCTTCGGCTATTGATGCAAAGTGAGGGTTTTTTCACTTATTAGTACCCATTTCTACTACGTATGTGAAAAAAGAATACTTATATAATTCTGGGCTGTGTGACCCTGAGCTAATAACTTAACCTCTCCGGATCGGTTTCCTGTTCTTTAAAATGGGGATATTAATTACACAGTACTTGAATTAATGAATTAATCCACCTGAGCCCACATTGGAATTATCTGCTGTTATGGTACTGTTATGGACACTTGCTGTGATAGAGGCTACTTCAGTAGGTATATTTTTATTTAAAATATTAGGTCTATTTTAAATAATCTGATGATGTAGAAAAAATCTTATTTTGGTTCCAGTGGCCATGCTTTTAACACTAAACTATGTTCTCCAGAGCCCCACACATGGAAAAAGGGAGGCAGAAAAAAGGTCTTCAGTAGTCAACTTCTTTACTAATAAAAACAGAATTCCTTGACAGGTTGGTGCTACTATTTGTAAATAATTTAAGTATTACTACTGGAAGAACAGGCTTCAAAGTACATTTAGAGAAGTTTTCCTCTTGAATTCAGGCAACACAGAGAACTGTCTCCTGCCTGGGGCTCTGAACTTTCTTTTCTGTCTCCTTGTCACTGAGAATTTCTTGCAGCCTGTTTACGCATTCTCTGAATCATACGCACTGCCTGTAACATACAAACTTAACGCCATCAAATGCTAAAGCCAGTTCAGCACCAGAAAATTCTATTAGTAGCCTCAAATCGGGGAGAGGAGTAGAAGAAGAAACTCCTGGGGCAGTACGAGTTGAAATGAATGGAACACAGTAAGAAAATGACAGAACCATGATAGGTAAAGGATGTTACCAAAGCACATAAGACAGACACCTGAATCAGACTGGGTCTGAGGGTGCTAAACGAGGACAGACTTCCTAGAGGAGGTGATATATTAGTTTAGTCATTCTCAGTCCCAGCTGGCTGCAAATCAACATCACTTAAGCAGCTTGGGGGGAAAAAGTTTCGGTTCAAGCAGTGGAATGAAAACCTAGAAGTGGGGCCCAGGCACGTGTATTTTTTGAGAAGCTCTGAGGATGATGATAATGTATAACCAAGACTGGAACCCCATATTTCTGGTGACAAATACGGCATGTCAGCACGTAGCACTGAAAGTAAAGGTGAACAGATGATGTTTTATTTGGGAACTTGGTCGTTTACCAAGCTTAAGTAGAGAGTTACTGCGGATACGTCAGGGGTTAGAAAGCAGAGGTGGTGGGGAAGACCGGAGACACAAGCTTCGAAAAGACAATAACAGGCAAAAGAAGGGGCAGGGGCCCCTGAAGTCTGAGCAGAAGCCTTAAGTGCCGTAGGTCAGGGTGGAAAATAGTGATCGGCGTCCGAACAGGAGTCACCCCGCCGCTGAAGACCTAAAATGCAGCTGCGGCGGGGAGGAGGGTGCGGCGCGGGAGACACCGCGGCGCGGGGGGTGCGGGAGAGGCCGGAGGGGCGGCTGCGGAAGGTCGGTCGGTTCCGGGTTCCCGGCTCCCGGCCCCCTGCTCCCGGCCTCGGGCCAGCGGCGGCCCGCCCGCCCCGCGAGCTCGCGCAGCGCAGCCCCCGGCTCGGCCCCGCACCTGCCACGGTTGCATTCCTGAAAGGCCAAGTGTTGAGGATCAAGGGCAGCTGGCCGATGCTGCGCGCCGGGGCTGGGCCGAGCAGCAGCAGCAGCAACGGCAGGAAAAGACCCGGTTTCCGCACCATAGCTGCGCGCCCAGACCGCCGCCAAAGGTCACGGCCGCCGCGGACCCGCGGCCCGTGTACCCGGAACTCGTGGTCCCGGCGCCCCGCCCATCGCCCCGCCCCCCACTCCCTTGGGGCGCGGGCCCAGAGCCTCAATTCTCGCGAGTCGTGGTTTCCGCGGCCCTATGGGAGTTTTCAGGTCACCACAGTGCTGTGGGTTGGTGCTAGCGTCCTTCTGAGGTCTATTTTTTTTTTTTTTCTTTTTTGGGGAAACTATTCAGCTAAAAATTAGTAGGACATTGTTCGGCTTTGGCTTACACGATCCTGGGAGCTTTTAAACTTGATTTCATTAGTTGAAGTTGGTCAATTTGTGAAATTTACAGTGTGCTCGCTGCGGTTCCTAAACGCAGATATGAGGATGGTTATTGAGTGTTAGGGGCGGCTCGGCTATAAACCAGGTTTATTTTAGATTTCTCCCACCCTACCTGCAGTCCTCTCTCCGCTGCGGTTTTTGTAGGACGTCCTCTGGTTATAAATCCCTGAGCTGAAAGAAATGGGAGAAACTGGAGAAGCAGAAATTAACAACGATCTCTACAGCTCGCTGAGGTGTGCTCTGTTCCTCTAGGGCGAGAAGCTACCTCCGTTCATTTCTGAATGTGTTTTACTTGTGCCTGAACATTAAGTGCTTAATAAATGTTTGAATACAGGCAGAATGGAGACTTTACCTTGTTGAAAGATGAACTGAAGCGCATTAAAGATTCTGGGAACTATTTCTTAAGTAGACATACTGTAAAACAGTTCTCCTTGAGCGTTCATTTAAAACCTTTTATTTATGTGTATCTAATTTACTTGTTCTTAACAATTAGATTTAGATTTGCTTTTGGAAATTTCATGAAACATTAAACAACTAATCATTTTAAGTTATGTTTCTTGCTGACAAATTCTGCACCTGAGGGAAGGAGCTTCTTTGACTTCGTAAACCGAGGTAGAATTAAAAATACTCTTGTTTAATGCTAATAGCTTCAAAGATTGACCTGTTCTAATTAAGTAAACAAACTTAAATTAGGTTTTATTATGAAGGTTATCCTAGATCATACGAACTTGAAAAACTGGTTAGCTAGTTTCTATATTTCTGTGAGTATACTTTATTTACTGTTTGCCTTTAACCCAATTAAAATAGAGCTCTTTAGAAATAGTGCCAATACTACTGGGGAGCTTAAAAAATCATACAACTATAACACACATAGATACTATAAACGTACAGACAGATGCAAACAGAGTTTTTATAGCTTTTGTTTTAAAATTTTAGCCATGAGACAGGTATGATAATGCAAAACCCACTAGCTTATAAAAAATCATTGTGTTTCTGGCAGATGGAACAAGTTAAGGTTACCTCTTCAGATCAGTTCAGTTCAGTTCAGTTGCTCAGTCATGTCCAACTCTTTGCGACCCCATGAACCACAGCACTCCAGGCCTCCCTGTCCATCAGCAACTCCCAGAATCCACCCAGACCCATGTCCATCGAGTTGGTTATGCCATCCAGCCATCTCATCCTCTGTTGTCCCCTTCTCCTCCTGCCTTCAATCTTTCCCAGCATCAGGGTTTTTTCAAATGAGTCAGCTCTTTGTATCAGGTAGCCAAAGCATTGGAGTTTCAGCTTCAACATCAGTCCTTCCAATGAACACCCAGGACTGATCTCCTTTAGGATGGACTGGCTGGATCTCCTTGCAGTCCAAGGGACTCTCAAGAGTCTTCTCCAACACCACAGTTCAAAGGCGTCATTTTTTTGGCACTCAGCTTTCTTTATAGTCCAACTCTCACATCCATACGTGACCACTAGAAAAACCATAGCCTTGACTAGACAGACCTTTGTTGGCAAAGTAATGCCTCTCTGCTTTTTAATATGCTGTCTAGGTTGGTCATAACTTTCCTTCCAAGGAGTAAGCGTCTTTTAATTTCATGTCTGCAATCACCATCTGCAGTGATTTTGGAGCCCAGAAAAATAAAGAAAGCCACTGTTTCCCCATCTATTTGCCATGATGGGACCGAATGCCATGATCTTAGTTTTCTAGCTTTTTGCTAATATTTATGAAAGAGACTCTTCATAGGCCTAGATTGCAAAATAGCCTTTTCTCTCCCTGTCTCTCTCTCCTTCTGATAAGAATTACCTTGGTTTCTAGAGAAGACCATGTAGAACAGTTACATCTCAAAAGACAGTGAAAGAGTGCAAGTTCCACCAAGAAGGACTCCTGTTTGTAAGTCCAAATAATTTACAAAATCTGAAAGCATTTTGAGATGAATTGGGGAGGTTTGGGGATTGGTTAAAAAAAGAAAAAGGAAAAAAAGCAAAGGAATGAGTGTGCTGTGAATTGTTTCTAGAGCCGCATTTCTGTTCTTGTAAAGACTGTATTTGTAATACAAGTAAAATGTTTTTAATTCCTCAAATAATTGGACTGCAACCTGAATATTAAGAGACTGACCCACCCATCCAACCACTTATCCTCAATTTGTTTCTTTATGCCAGGGAGAAGATCTTCTACTAAGGTAAATATCAGATTTCATTGTTTCAGATTTAGAGTTCTGTGTCTTCGGAGTGTTTTAGTATTTCCTTCCACAAAGGCTTCATAATGTGTGTCTTTCCTTCTGGGTACAGTTCTATTTTTAGTTTAGAGGTCCAAACCTAAAAAAATATAGATCTCAGCCTCTAAAAATCAGCTTTCAATTTGGCCAACTTCTGACAATAGAGCTACTTTAATATAAGTTTTAAAAAATCCTCTCAAATACTTTGTCAGGTTTCAGCTGGGACAGACAGTAAATATTCCTGACTGTATTAAACAACCCTGTGGATGCAAAGACTTCTCTTGTGGCTCATCTGATAAAGAATCTGCCCGCAATGCGGGAGACCTGGGTTCGATCCCTGGTTTGGGAAGATCTCCTGGAGAAGGGAAAGGCTAACCCACTCCAGTATTCTTGCCTGGAGAATTCCATGAACTGTATAGTCCATGGGGTTGCAAAGAGTCAGACACGACTAAGCAACTTTCACTGGATGCAAGGGGTATTCCCTCAGGAAGGACAAAAGATCCTACTCCCCCAAGATCTGGCACCACCTGCAGGACAGACAAAGGAAAGACTCGGAGTTCTCCTGAGATCTGGCAGTCTCAGTGGGCTGCAACCCACATGTCTTCCAGGCTGTGTGTGCAGACTTCCAACCCGAGAACTGTCAGGCTAAGTTCTCAGTTCCCAAACGAGACAGACCAGCAGGCAGAGCTGTCCCTGGGAGAGAGTCAGCACCAGTGAGCATCTGAAAATCTAAGTCACGAGTCACAACCCAAAGATCTAATTCTCACAAATGTTTTTTTCCTGCCAAGGTGGATTTGGAAACTGTTCCTTCCTCTTGGGCAAGCCCCACAGTAGAGATCTGGGAGAGCTGACTTTAGTCAAAACCCCCACCCTTTGCTGGCTTCGCCAGTTTCCCCAGGATCCCGGCTGCAGGCCCTGGAGCAGGTGGGGTGTCCCAATGGGTCTCATCCAGGTCCCCAGAGACCATAGAGGAGGAAAGATAATGTTCCCTCTACCCCTTCTGGTGAGTCTTGACTGAGACCCCTTTTCTCGAGGGCACCTCCTGAGTGGAGGTGAAAAGCCCTCCACTGTGGCCTCTCTAGTTCAGGTTACCTTTGTGAGTTGAGCCTGCCTGTTCAGCCTAATAACAAAACTTGATTCACCTGCGGTGCCAGGCAGAGCCGGGTCCAGCTCACGGCAGTCCGCGCCCACCCCAGACCCAGTCTGGCTTCTGTGCCAGACCCAGCCGGACTCAGCCAGTTTCAGGACCCAGCACAGACAAAGGAATGCTCAGTTGAAGTCTGAAAGCTCAGACGAGGTTCCGGGGGGACTCACCCACGACCTCCAGAGCCAGCAAGAAACCGTGAGCTTGGGGGCTCAGCAGGTACCTGCGTTTGCTTGCTCTTTGCCATTGTGTGTGTGGGGTGGGGGTTTATTTCACTCTCTCTTCTGCTGCTGGCACTGTTAAAGGATAAACTGAGTCATATTCATTTATTTATCTGAGCAAAAATCAGTTTGAATCAGGAAGTAGCCAATCTAGAAAGTAGCAGCTCAAAGGAGCTGTACAAAATGAGAGACTTTCACAGGCAGAAGGGAATGCAAACAAGGTGGTTACACCAGCACCTCCCCCCCCCCCCCAAGAAAAAGGCAGATTGGTTGGTTCAGGATTACTTTCCTTTAGGGCAGCAGGGACCACTTTTGTGCAAGACAATCTTTCCACAGACCGGGGGTGGGGGTGATTTCGGGATGACTCAAGTGCATTATATTTACTGTGCAGTTTATTTCTAATCTAATGCCACCGCTGATCTGGCAGGGGATACCAGTCGGCGACTCACAGCTTGGAGACCCCTGCTTTAGGGGAGGACAGAGGGCTTCACGAGCAGATTACCTAACTAGTACTGATCAGATAGATGGTTCCTGACTGACTGGGTTCCCTTTCCATTTCTGGAAGAACCAGAACTATTCTTGTCAGTCTTAGTTTGATGATGTGAAGCTTAGTGATTCCGTTTTGGGGGCTGTCCTCTTGTTTTCAACCACATGCATGGCTTGTTTGTTTAGCTCAGTTGTCTGGGGAGATGGCAGAGTATGAAACTTCAGGGGGCTGGAATGCCTGTCTGATTGTGAAGGGAAACCATGTCACCAAATGATATAGAGGAGTGTCTATAAATCTGTGCAGACTTTTAAAATATTAACTTGGTAGGAGTTGTAAGGTTTACAGAAACTTCACGGCTCTTACTGCGAGGAATTTAAGTATAGTTTAAACAGCCTAAGATAGCCTGGAAGAATTATCCTAAGATAAAGAAATGCTATTAAAAAGTTAGGTGTAATTGAAGAGAAGTGTTACAAATTTTTGCTCAGGGTTTTTGGAGGAGGAATGAGTCATTTGTGCTGGGGTAATCAGGGTAAATTAATGCCAGCTGCAATTTAGAAGAGGCGAAACAGGTTGAGAAAGCAAGGAAAAC